CCCGACTATGCTCCCCCCAAATTGGGTACTCTTACACAAAAAGAGAGTATCTCCCTTTTGGAAAGGGATCTCTTGTCAGCACAATCCCATCCTAAAATGGCCCACTCATTCACAAAAGGTCACTTTAACATGCCTGCGCATGCGCAACACCCAATCTGCCCCCATATCTTCCCTGATCTTGCCTCTTCTAGTGGAGGTAATCAAGTGTCTGTTACAAATCCAATAACCAATAGTATAAATGAGGTGACCTCTCTGTCAATCACTCAAGATTCATTGCAGAAGGCAAATCGTCTCACCCGAAATCCAAAGAACATATGGATTATAATGCTTCTCCCCCCCTCTTCCTTTGCTCCAAGCCACACCAACAATCCCCTTCACTCTGATATTTCCAATGGAAAACAACAATCCCCCTTCCCAAACACAAGCCACAACATCGTTAACCATCTTCACCACCCTAATGCCTCCAGAGCTCATGTCGAAATCATGGTTGGAAATTGCACTCCAAGGACACACCCAGAACCTACAAATGATGGTAGGGTCTGTCCTGATGGAAATAACCATCCAAAATCCCAGGTACCTAGCTCGACTGGCCACACAGCTCCTCAACTAGTGTCTGGCAAATTTTGGACACCAGTTATAGATGTCCACCTTACTCCAAGCCCAGTACATGGGGAACCAACAACCCCTATCTATGGAGGAACTCAACACACTCATGGGCCAGCTTTGCGAGACCATGCCCTTCTTCCCCGTCATGAACCTAGAGACTCCAGTCCCATCTTCAACCTTCCAACTCTGGCCACCAATAGTCCAAGTTCCTCGGCCACTATCCCAACCACTCTCACCCATCGATCTACTGAGCAGGGGCACCACCATGGCATTAGACTACCTCGGGGAGTCCAATGTGGACCTTAAGAACATGTTAGAAAAACTAGGGATGCTAAAGACAAAGGCCTTCCTCATACAGGAACCCTTAGAGATAGAGTTCAAAGAGCAGTCAGGAGAAATGCTTATTGCTCTGTGCCCTAAAAATTTCATAAGTTGCAAACTTGATCTTCGAGTGCATTCATTTCCAAACTCAAAAAACTTAGCAGTTACTTTAGCCCCTCTAATGGGTATGCTGAAGCCAACCCCAGTGAGCAAGGGGAAGGGAATCAAAAGGAAGGCTCCAACACAAAAATCCTTGTTAATGAATTTCATAATATGGAATGGTAGGGGGGCCAATAGTGTTGAGTTCTGTAGGCACTGTGCATCTATGGTAAAGCTCCATAACCCTGCCATGCTCGTCTTGCTGGAGACTAGAATGCAGATCACAAGCACCTCACTTTTGAGCTCAAGTTTGATGCCCAATTCCAATCCCGTGCTGTTGGACAGTCTGGTGGGATTGTGCTTATGTGGAAAGATGATCTCGTTAAGTTAGATAAAGTAGCCACTACTCCACAGGGTGTGCATGTCATGGTCAAGGTACACCTCTTCTCTACTAAATGGCTTTTTTCTGCTATATATGCGAGTAATTGTCTTAATAATAGAAATAAGCTCTGGAACACACTAGAGGACCTGGATTCTGTCTATGGGGGTAGTTGGCTTGTTAGGGGTATTTCAATGAAGTACTAAAAGACAGGGATAAGTTTGGGGGTAACAGCTTGAACACTAATAGAAGCAACAGATTCTGGAAATGCTTTAACAGTTGTAAATTAGTTGATCTAGGTTTTAAAGGTTCAAAATATACTTGGTCTAATACAAGATACTCCAATAAGCAAGACCTAATCCTAGAAAGACTTGATAGGTTCTTTGAAACTAATGATTGGATAAAGGAGTTTCCTGAATCAAATGCTACCCATCTTCCTAGGACCCACTCATATCACTATCCTCTTCTTTTAAGTCTAATCCAGCAAAGTCAGAGCATGTCCAACAAGCCTTTTAAGTTTTAATCTATGTGGAGCAACCGCCCTGACTTCCTCTTGTGGAAGATAGTTTTGCAGCCAATAATGATATCTTGAAAGCTACCTCTGTTTTTACCAATAAGGTGGCTGATTGGAATAAGCATGTCCTTGGCAACATTTTCCAT